ATTTTGTTAAACTTTAATACTCCTTGAGTCTGGGCTCTGCTTTGGGGCATTAACTTTTGAAATGAATGTTAGAAATGTTACTTTGCATGCAATTCTATTTCTTAAGTTTTATTTTCTTAATAAGAGATTTTATTTTTATCTTCTGTAGAAACCTAAGGTGGATTCTGTTTGCTAGATTATGTGAGTGAGACTGACATGCCATTAATCTTACAGTAGTCTGATGTCCATGTAACAATTTGTGGGTTTTGCCATAGCAAATTATCACCGTGAAGGGTTTTGATAATGTAGACAGACTATAAAAATGCTTGCTGCATAAGAATAATTCAAAAAGCTGTGTTGATTTAGTTTGGAATGAACTGTGAGAGAAGAAAATTGGTCTGTCCCAAGTATGGCTGGGATGGAGTTTTTTTCCTTCACTGTAGCTGTGTGGTCTTATCTTTTAGGTTTGTGACCAAAACATAGTTGTGGTAATAAGGGTTATTTCAGTTATGGCTGAGCAGCACTTGCACAGCATCAAGGTCTTTTTGTTTCTAAACCATGTTCAAAGGTCCAGAGAACTACAACATAAACCTGTAGATTTTCTAACAAGAATTTTTAATAAAAGTAATGAATTTATCTATTTACAGAAAGAAGAAAGCATGGTCCAGCCAGCTGTGGGTTTTTAAGCTTGACCTCAAAAGAATGGCCGGCTTTATAGTTTTTTATGTTAAAAAAAGGTGAGATAAAATTGTCCACCAGTTTATGAAAGTACATCTTTAATGGTGGCTGGTTTACTAAATAAAATGCTGCAGTGCCATTTATTCTGACCTTAGCAAAGTTTCTAATTTGGTGACTATGCTAAATTATTAGTTCACCTGGAGAAACAGGTGGTTATAGCAAGAACTTTATTATGGCTAAAAAAAATTAGAGACGGCAGTAGCTTCTATTGAAAGGGAAATTAGTGGAGTGGGGAGATCATTAATGTCATTAATTATATTCTTACAGGAACAGCCTTAGGACTTACTTCTTAAAAAAAAAAAAGAAAACGTATCAATAATTTTCAGGCCAAAAGTCAATGCCATTCTCCAGTCACACGTACAATATACTGTGAGATGACTTCTTAAGCAACTCAAGGCATTGGGATGTATTTTATTTGTTTTATTTTGTTAATTTATTTTAGTCTTTTGAAGTTCAGGAAATTTGAGAGAAGAAACAAGAAAACTGAGAGTGGCTTAACTGTGAAATAATCAATCCTTCCTTCAAGGAATTAATCCTCCCTTAAAGGATCACTTATGTCAGTGATCCTTTAAGAATCACTAGCATAAGACTTAGTGATGTAAATTTACATTGAAAACGTTTCTTCATACATTTTGTAATTCATAATAAGGTAATTTGGGGTGTCAGTATTAATAATTTACTATCATATATGGACTTAGATCTTTTAAACCTGATTGAGCTTAATGCACAAACACCTGAAATGGTATGATGCTTTAATGTTTGAACATTTGTACATAGTGGATGGGACAGCTGATAACAGAAATAAAGAAAGTGTTAGATGATCTAAATGAATGCACAATCCTACTTCAGGAACAGAATCCATTGTTCTTTTCAGTTCAAGATCATTGAGAACATAGGAAAAAAACAACAAACTTTCCTTCTATAAACAGTGGAGTGGGTGAGTAGCTTGATTCTTTCCCAAACATTTACATTCAACATGTGTTTAGATATTAGAAGGGTCAGCTTGACTTTTTCAATCTTCAAGACACATTTTGCAAAGTAAATATTCCGCAAGCTTTCCTGCCCATAAATTGTGAATTCCATTCTGATGAGAAAAGGATGAGTTATGTGTTACAAATTAACATGTAACAAAATTATTTGTTTTAATTACTTTCATTTCTATAATTGCCAGAGTGTTACAGATACGTTCACAGCCTCCCTATAAAAATGAATGAAAACAATTCATGGTAAGGTATATTAATGAACTGATGAAAAAGAGAAGGCATAATTAACAATATCAAGGGAGGAGGAAGAGATATCTTCAGGTGCCAGGCTAGCTAAACACATGCTGAACTGACTAACTGAAGGCTGATAGATTTTAGCATGTTATTGCTAATGAAGCATAAAGGTATGCTGAGAAATGCACCCCCTCTCCCTCTCTCTCAGATAAAAAAGGTAACCATGACTGGAAGAAGGAACTGTGTAGGAGGCTAAAATAGGATGAATGGTGTAAAGATGGATATCAAAGACAGTGAGTATAGTGGGAGTATGGGACTGTCCCTGAGAGGAAATCTTACCTTAACAGCATTAAATTGCCAGCAGCAATGCATACTACATCTGCATATAATGAAATTTAATTTTCTGTGCAATTTATTCACAAAACCTCTCATTTCCATTTCACCTCTAATTAGGATTGCTAGGGATTCACTTTTGAAAACACAGAATAATGAGTGAAGAGGATACTTCTGCCAGGTGCCTTTTTGAAATGGTAAGGATTCAGATCATTAACTTTTGCACTGGATTTTGGTTTTTCGTGCACAGAGTTTCTCAATCTATTCCACCAGCTTTTCAATAACAAGAAGTTATGATCTTTACGGTATAAGCATCTCTAAGATACAGTGTGTCAGGAAGACAATGCACAGGATATTTAGCCAGGGAGAAGTCCTTATTGTCTTAGGTTTTCTGGCCAGGTGAGTTGACAAAATACTGGAGGCACAGTGCCCCTTCCTGCAGACATTAGGCTGGCATTACATATCCCTAGGAGAAAATTACAGCCCATGAGAAAGATCTTTTGATGAAGAAAACACTGAATCCACAATTCTCTGATCTTCAGAGTTGAACTTTAGCTTCATATGACACTACTGTACAGGAAACAGTGCTGATTCACATTACACAAGAAAAGCACTCATAAAAACCTGATTCCTAAGTGCTTTTTCAGTGTACCTTGAGGTGGCAGCTCCATTATGCACACTCCCCATGTGAACTATGGCCTTGTCCCTTTATCAGCTAATTCGCTCCTGGAGAAAACTGCTATTACACAATGTCTTGGTGAAATAGCATAAAGAGAATTATTTCTTGTTCCTCTTCAGCTGCTTGAGCACAGATACCTTTAAACCTAGTGGCAAATGTGTACGGAAAGATTGTATTTGCTTTTGCTCTTCTGTATCAAAGTTAATCAATTTACTGGAGGAAGAAAATTAATCAAAATCTTTCGAAAGGAAAAGCACGAGCTGAAACTGAATCTGAACTCTACTTTGGTGAGCCGTTTGCTGGACAATAAGAACTCCAGAATGAGATAACAAAACCCTTGGGCAATTGAAATTCGCTTTGTTGCTGCTTCGGGACAGCTGTCCCCAGCTTCTACCCCTTGAGGCGCCATCCTGCGGGGCCGACAGCCACTGCCCGCGGCAGAGCTAGTCACGTACCCGCTGCCGCTCCACAGGGGCGACAGAGCCAATCGGAACGCTGCACGCTGCGGGGCGGGGCACCACTGCTGCGGGTGGGGCAGCGCCTGTGAGGGTTAAGGGGTTACGTCCCGTACGGGCTGCTGGTAATAGAACAGCCCGTGCGAGGAGCGACCGTGCAGGGAAAGTCGGGGCTGTGGCAGCAGCCTCTTTGTACCGCTGAGCCCCATCCGAACTAAGTAACCTGCCCAGCCCAGCAGTGCTGGGTGTTCTGCTTATTAACCCTGACCTATGTACCTTAAAAAAGAAAAACGAAAAAAGTGTGAACCTATGTGGTAAGTGCTTTGGGATCATCAGTACAGATACAATGAGCTCGAATAGGAAATCCCCGTCTTCCAGGCGTTCTACAAGTCATCATGGACTGGCCAGAGGGCAAAGATTTCGGAATATCGCCAGAGGAGGAGGTGGTGCGTGCTGAAGAGGCCCCACCATATAATAAACTGTCAGAAAGTGAAAAGCAGTATGCCTTGTTTACTGATGGCTCTTGCCGTATTGTGGGAAAGCATCGGAGATGGAAGGCAGCTGTATGGAGTCCTGGACGACAAGTTGCAGAAACTGCTGAAGGAGAGGGTGAATCGAGTCAGTTTGCCGAGGTGAAAGCCATCCAGCTGGCCCTGGACATTGCTGAACGAGAAAAGTGGCCAGTACTTTATCTCTATACTGGCTCATGGATGGTGGCAAATGCCCTGTGGGGGTGGTTGCAGCAATGGAAGCAAAGCAACTGGCAACGCAGAGGTAAACCCATCTGGGCTGCTGCACTGTGGAAAGATATCACTGCCCGGGTGCAGAACCTGGTGGTGAAGGTACGTCATGTAGATGCCCATGTACCCAAGAGTCGGGCCACTGAGGAACACCAGAACAACCAACAAGTGGGTAAAGTGGCTAAGATTCAAGTGGTTCAGATGACTTAGATTGGCAACATAAGAGTGAGTTATTTTTGGCTCAGTGGGCCCATGACACTTCAGGCCATCAGGGCAGAGATGCAACATACAGATGGGCCCTTGATCGAGAGGTGGACTTAACAATGGACACTATTGCCCAGGTTATTTACAACTGTGAAACGTGCTGCAATTAAGCAAGCTAAATGGTTAAAGCCTCTGATATGAAGGACGATGGCTGAAGTACAAATATGGGGAGGCCTGGCAGATTGACTATATCACACTGCCACCAACCTGCCAAGGCAAGTGCCATGTAATTACCATGGTGGAAGCAACCACCGGCTGGCTGGAAACATGCTGTGCTCCATGCCACTGCCCGGAACACTATCCTGGGCCTTGAGAAACAGATTTCGTGGCAACACGGCACCCCAGAGAGAACTGAGTCAGACAATGGGACTCATTTCTTGAACAACCTTGGGCCAAAGAGCATGGCAGTGGGTATATCACATCCCCTAACATGCACCAGCCTCTGAGAAAATCGAATGGTACGATGGGCTGTTAAAAACTACACTGACAGCAATGAGTGGTGGAACTTTCTAACATTGGGATAACATTGGCTTCGTGGTTCTGAGTTACTGGCTGGGCTTAAACCACAGCAGTCTCATGCCCTAAACTGCAAAACATGTCACAAACCCAAATAGAAACATGACTACTGTTAATACCTAATTTTCCGGGGCAAACATTTCTGCCTTCAAATTTAGGTCAGTTTGCTGAGCCTGTGCAAGCTGACATGTTGGCAGACACAAGGGCTCTACAGTCCTGGAAATGAACAATGATTTTCAAAGGCAGCAAATTAACATAAAAATCTTTGTGATCAAATTATGAATCAGTGGGTGATATATAAATCATTTTTTCCTCTCATTTCCATCATAGATAGGTAACAGAAACCTTTAAGCCAATATTATCACTTAAGTAGTTCCTCTTCCTCCTCAGTATTTATTTCTCATATGTAATTTTACAGTTCATATTCTTAAATTTAAGATGCTCCATTCTCTTACTCAGCCATGGAAATAGCACCAAGGCAGAACAGACGGAGGATATAAAATTACCAACTTTGTGTGCAGTGAAGTTTACTCCTCTTGTTTTCTACTTTTCTAAGCAAAGTAATGGAAATATTTAAGGTGTGAGAGAGATAAGCAGCACAAAAAGACCTTGCAGAGCCTATGCAGACAGCTGCCAACCATTACTGCATCACTAGTCTAATTACAGCCACATATCTCAGCTGCATAAAAAAAGCAGCACAATATTCCTACTCAGGTCTAATGTCAATGAAGTATTTTAAAGTATGGCTCAGGCAGTGAGCTTTTGGGGAAAAAAAAAAAAGAAAGGACTAGATCACAAGTGAAGTGCTTCCTTCTCTTCAACCACCTCCTGAAATATCCAAGATCCATAAGCCATTGTGTCTCTTATTTGCTCATGTCTACTTTGGTCTTTTCAAATGCATATGCCAGATATACTGTGTTTGTGCTAATTAAAATCCAGGCAGCTGGGGCATGAAACTGCTGGAAGCCATAGGATCTCTGGAGAACGAACACAACACATTTTGGTCAAGAGAGATTTCACTTACTTATATTCTCTCACTGAACTTCAGAATTCTGAATTTAAAGAATATAAAATTTCAAAGCCAATCAGTATTGTGTGTATATTTGTGTATGCACATGTGCTTCTAAGATAATTCGCTCATGCACTGTACTTCAAATTCTTCATCTGCCTGGCCGTAAGTAGCTGTACTAAGTTTTGTAGATTTCATTGCTTTAAAAGTCACTAAAATACTTCACAACAAATGAAAACAATTAATTAGAATGAGAGGAGGTTTTCCACACAGGACCTAATTATTAAAAAAAATATTCTGTATCACTGCTAATGACTTCCATTTTTAAAACCTTTCTAAAGTTGAATTACATCTAGGCTTGCACACAAATTAATTGGCTAGAGAAAGAACTTGTGATCTAATCTGCAACATATTACAGGGATTCAGATCTGATTGATAGACGGTGCTGCAGTAGTCATATTTTCCTTTCCCCTTTGGAATAAAGCCAACTCAGAAGTGACATCTATGAATTACTGGGCTTCCTGAAGGTTAAGTCACTTAGGGAAAAAAATGTCGTTTACAAGATGTAAATCTGTTTTTCAAATCTTACTTTCATTCTAGGTTGAATGCTCCTAATGATATTGTAGGAGCCCCAAACAGAAACAGGGATCACGGGTAAGTATTTGATGCTGTAGTGCTCCCCTGACTAGAAAAGAAGGATGCAGCCATGACCGCAGGCACATGAACTTTGATTAGACTTCTTAAAGCCATTTGCTAAAATGTAAAATAAAGTGCAAGAGGCTATATTAGATGCTTCATTAAATTTTAATCAACAGGAGAAATTATATTTCTATTATTATTTTTCTATCTTCAAAACGTGACTAATATTTCTAGTGATAATTGCTGAATTTCTGGTTAGCATTAGGTATGTCTAGATATTAATAAAATTTAGTTTTAATGAAGTGCCAGTTAATTACAAAAATTCACTCATACACACATACAAACCCCCCTGTTCTGATATAATTTTTAGAAGGCAAATTCCTGCTGCAACATGCTTTAGCAAGTAAAATATTAATATAGTTAATGTCATATTGAAAAAGTCCTATTTTTGCTGTCACAATAATATTGTTATATTTCTTATTTCATCAGCTAAGCCCTTCAAAATATTGGTATAGTACACTTACACATTACTGAATTGTAGAAGAGTTGGTTAGATACTTTGAGTAGATCAAATGTATCAAGTGCTCTATGGTGCAACTGTAATTTTTGTAATATTACAAAACCGTGGAAAATCAGATTTTAACAAATAAATGTTTATAGATTATTAAAAAGACAGTCAATAATATCAGGCAAAGCATTAAAAACATCCTGTCAAAATAGGAAAGCTTGAACAGTGTTTCATTTTCAGAACGTGTAAAACTTGGAAGTGAAAATGAGAAGGGAGGGAGCAGAAAATAACAGGTTTGTTTTTTGTTTTTTTTTTAGTAACAGCCAAACACACTTAAATGTGAAGATTTCTAACCAAATATGAAGTCCTTCTTAATCACAAAATATAAACTGTCCTGATTAACCTTTAATCAAATTGCTTAAATGATACTCTTATTTCTAGGGAAATCATTCATGTCTTGCCAGATTTAGAGGCCTTCATAAGTGTAATTTTGAACACCTTCTCACACAACATTCTGTTTTTCTCATGTTCATGTAACAGAGCAGTCAAATGAAAACAGTTCTTTAGCAAAGTACTCTATGAATAGTACTTCAACTGCATGTATTTTGACTAAAGAGTTGCTAAACTGTCTCATAGGAGAATTGTTCGATTCACATGAGTAAAACTACTCTCCTGACAGAAGTTACAAATTTAGCAATGCCCATACCTGGATATCAACATGAAGTAGACTCTGAATCTTGCAGAAACAGAGAAGGTTACTTTTTTTTTTAAATCTTAACAATAAACACTACTTTTGCATTTGTGGCACACTGTATTTGTAGACCTGGTGCATTTATAAAAAAATAAAACCCCAAAACAACCCAAATTTATAAAATCACTCTCTTGCACTGGCTGTGGTGATTACAGTGTCTCCAGTTTCAGAAGGGTAAAATGGGATACAGAAATATGTCTCTAATCAGGAAGAAAAACCAATTGCACAATTCTTATTAGTCAAGAATCTACCATATTCATCTACAGCTAAAACGCATATATATACATGGAACACCATGGTGGTACTTAACCTACGAAGGGATGAGGGAGGTGACTGACAAATTAATTCTTTGCATTATTTCTGATGCATAAAACATCAACAACAAAAAACCTAAATGGACCTTACTAAAACATTAAAAAATGAATCAATATGAACTTCCAATAATTTTGTGATCGAGGTTCACCTCTCTAATATAAATCAACATTGACTTTTATGAAGCTACACTAGCCCATGACAGATGGAAGTCTGGATTTCATCAGAAAGGTTTAACCATAGGAGGGAACAATAAAGAAACTAAGTTTCTCCAGCAGTGATTACACATTAAAAATAATAATAGCAACTGTAATCAAGGTGAACAAGAGGCTCCAGCATAAGTTTTGGCCAAAGGCATGCTGAGCTACAATAAGATTATAGAACACAATGCCAGAGGTGATTCACAAAAACAGGAGAAAGTTTCTGAAAGGCTAATGACAGTGCTATTCAAAATCATGCCTGGAAGAAGCACTACAAAAAACCACATCTGTTCCTGGTAATTGGCTCTCCTCTTCGAAAAGGAGAGCTACCTTATTTGTTGTGGCTGTCATGAAATGAAATATCAAAGTAAAACTGAAATTTACTGTAATATTCTATATCCCAGGAGACTGTCCTCAAAGTGCTTCCTGCATATAAAAATGCAAGATCCCTTTGCATATTGTGAATACACAAGAAACAGGCATATTCTGTCAAAGGCTGTGAGGTCTGGATTTTTAACTTTTAGAATGTAGCAAAGCTTCTCACTTTCCACAGTTGGAGGTAAATTAAAATGGTATAACTGATGGATTTTTAACATGACTTCACATAACTTTAAATAAACTCAGCAGTTGCATCTATATTTGTTCTCATATTTACCGGGTTTTCAAATAAATCTGAAAACTTCTGTTTGTGATCTAACTGATGGCATTAGACTAAAAAGCGGTTACTCTGTTATCCACCTCTAACAATATTGTCTGTTATTACAGTCCTGCTGTACCTACCCCAGAAAGACCTGTATTCATTAGGAGACAACAAAGTATGTTTGCATATATAATTAGATCTTCCAGAATACTGTTGAATTATCCAGGACACTGGCCAGCCCAAAAATTAGGCCCCTAGCCTCTCAAGACCGCAGGGTTCCTGTACTAGGAGTTGTACAGCTCCTACTTTTTCAAAGTCTTGGTGACAAAACATCCTGGAAGAAAAGAAGTAGAGCTTAGTTAGTCTTTATCAGAAGATGGGAAAGCATCACTGTAATATAAATGCTTGTATATCTTGAATAAAATAGCATTTATACACAACTGTGCTGAGTGTATCTATTCTTTTAATAGGGAAAACGTGAAGTAGAATCATAGAATCATGGAATAGTTAGTGTTGGAAAGGACCTTAAGATCATCAAGTTCCAAACACCCCGCCATGGGCAGGGACACCTCACACTAAACAATGTCACCCGAGGCTTCATCCAACCTGGCCTTGAACCTTGCCAGGGATGGAGCATTCACAGCTTCTTTGGGCAACACATTCCAGTGCCTCACCACCCTTACAGGAAAGAATTCCTTATATCCAATCTAAACTTCCCCTGTTTAAGTTTTAACCCGTTACCCCTTGTCCTATCACTACTGTCCCTAATGAAGAGTTCCTCTCCAGCATCCCTATAGCCCCCTTCAGATACTGGAAGGCTGCTATGAGGTCTCCACGCAGCCTTCTCTTCTCCAGCCTGAACAGCCCCAACTTTCTCAGCCTGTCTTCATATGAGAGGTGCTCCAGTCCCCTGATCATCCTCGTGGCCCTCCTCTGGACTTGTTCCAACAGTTCCATGTTGAGGACACCAGAACTGCACACGACACTCCAGGTGAGGTCTCACGAGAGCAGAGTAGAGGGGCAGGATCACCTCCTTTGACCTGCTCACCGTGCTCATTTTGATGCAGCCCAGAATATGGTTGGCTTTCTGGGCTGCGAGTGCACACTGAAGCCACCTCATGTTAAGCTTTTCCTCAACCAACACCCCCAAGTCCTTCTCCGCAGGGCTGCTCTGAATCTCTTCTCTGCCCAGCCTGTAGCTGTGCTTGTGATTGCCCTGACTCAAGTGCAGGACCTTGCAGTTGGTATGATTAAACTTCATAAGGTTGGCATCAGCCCACCTCACAGGTGTGTCAGAGTTCTTCTGGATGGCATCCTTCCCTCCAGCATGTCAACCGAACCACACAGCTTGGTGTCATTGGCAAAGTCACTGAGGGTGCACTCAGTCCCACAGTCCATGTTACCGACAACGATGTTAAACAAGACCTGTCTCAACACCAATCCCTGAGGGATGCCACTCGTTACTGGTCTCCAGCTGGACATTGAGCCATTGACCACAACTCTTTGCGTGTGGCCATCCAGCCAGTTCTTTATCCACTGAGTGGTCCATCCATCAAATTGATGTCTCCCCAATTTAAAGACAAGGATGTCATGCGGGACAGTGTCAAATGCTTTGCACAAGTCCAGGTAGATGACGGCAGCTGCTCTACCCCTATCCATCAGTACTGTAGCGTCATTATGGAAGGCCATCAAATTGGTCAGTATATTAGGACAAAGCCTAAAATGGCAATTTTATGTGTCTAATGGTCCCAAATCTAGCAGCATTCTGAGAAAGATTTCCATCTTGTTTATTATTTTAAGAAATACACTAGAATCCTGTAGAGTCATAGCATAGTAATTATGAATGACTAAAAAGCATTGGAGTTTGCCTTTCAGAAATACTTTGCCAAGATCTCAGAATAGGAAAGCTGTATCTAATTGCTAGGCTTACAGAAAAGGATGCAAGACTTTCTGATTTCATGACCATTTCAGGACTGGTATGCTGCAGATATGAGGTAATATGATCACCAGCATCACTAGGGAATTGCAAGCAATCCCTCCCTCAATGACAAATTACACTTAACACAACTGGTTTTAATAATTTTCAAAGAGCAGTCAGCATCTGAAATTCATGGAAAAAAACTTAAAAGGGACTCCTGACATTTTATTTTGTGAATTACAGGAGTTTATGGACTCAGGAAATTGCATGAAAAGGAAAGCTGAATTGCTGTCTGGTGCTTAAACAGTTTCAGAGACAGAATAACCCTCTCCCTTTTAAATATATTCCTTCCAGCTCAAGGATTAAGATTTACTGAATACCTATGTTTCAAATCTTACACACTCTACTGACAGTGACTGCCTTTTATCCAAGTTGGGAGTAGAGCCTCCAGGTACGCCTGCAACATATTAATTTAATAAACATCTAATGCAACATATTTATTTTAATAAACATCTAATCAAATTCCCATTAAAGACAGTATCCCAAATTCTGGGGACAAGTTGTTTTCTCTTTAATTCTGGCATGCTTCAAAACCTTCTCAGATTAAGGCAAGGCTCCAGGGTTGTAGTTATTGTTACACAAAGGCAGAAGAAGTTAGAGCTCCCAACAAAAGCATACATTGGGTATTTTCAATATCCAGTTAAGCAAAGAGAGCATCATTATAAAGAATTAAAAGACCTCCCATTTCTGGAACTCCATATGAGTCATTAAGCAGTTCTCAGGTATCAGATTCAATAATGCCATTCAGTCTTCTGTAGAGATTAAGTCGGTATCACCTGCCTCTGTGACCATTTCTTATGCTGGAGTTGTGAGGGAGATGGGTAACTGAGAAACATTCACAAGGTCTCTAACTGTTCCCTATCTCAGATACAGAGCAAGGCAGGGCTGTAAACCAACAGTAACTTCACACCCAAAAGGGCTTACCTTCAATGAAAAGAAGTGTAACCTTGAAGTCCTGCAAGAGTCCCACAGAGACCGCATGTATGCCACCTATACTGTCCCCTAGACCTCAAAAGATGTAAAACCATCCAAAACAGAAAAAAAACCACCCACCAGTAAACCTCACATGACAAATTCCTTTTTCAGTGGGCTATAATGAACTCAGGTGCTTTATGGTTTTTCAGAAACAATTTCAGTGGAGACAAATCACTCAATTACATTCCAGTTGGGAGTGATACAGTGACAACTGCTGTCAAGCAAGCCTCTAAAATTCCCATTCTCCTAAGTCCGTCTTCAAGGGCTACTGGTCTTTCCAGTAACATCAGGTTTCAGATTCCATGATTTTGTTTTAGTTTTTAACTGGAGCATTCACCAAGGAGCAAGCCATAGTTTCCTTGGCTCACAAAAACGTGCCTACAAACACAGTTTAGTAATGATCTTTCTTAGCCTGATGGTTAACTCATTTAGATCTATAAATCACTCTCAGATACTAATAGTCTAATGCAAGATAATAACTCAAAATAGAAATCTCATTTACTTTCACTGCAATTAAGCCAAATAATATATAATGTACCCTTTTAGATACAAGAAGTTTTATCTCTGCCTTCCACATTATGTGTGCCTGATGCCACAGCAGTACAGCTTCAAACCACATTCTGTTTTCAGAGAAGTAGCAGAAACAGGTTCTTTCTCTGAAGTATCAGGCCTTCCTGATCATGGTATATCCAAAGTTTTTACCCCCAGCGCTGTGTTTTTCCCCTGTGACTTTTCCCAGATTTGCAGAGCAAGAAACTCAAACCTTTCTCTCTGCCTCACCACTACTCTATGAGACAAATTTTAATTTCCTTTCACAGCTAAGGGAATGTGTCTTTCCCATCAAATGCATTGTCAGTTAAGTGATTTTTTAGAAAACAGGATTTACAGAAATAGACAGAAATTGCTCAACTCTAATCAGAAGAATACATAAGGACAAGAATAGAGTTTGCAAA